GGAATATTTTCATACATAAAGCGCACCGGGTTATAAGGCGCATTAAGTGAAGCAAAACAGTCAGCGAAACAATTAAGCGGAACAATCAAGCATGTCCAGATCCCTCTTGTCAATATCCGAGTCGGTCTAGTTGCTGTTAATTAGCTGTTCAGTGATGATTCCGGTCTTCGTGAAAGCTCGGACGACATTTGAGACTGATACCTTAGCCCAAGCATCCACGATCCACTGACAGATAGTGGCTTAACTCCTCCGGCGTTGCCTCCCTGTCTTGATGAATCTGTGTTCGCCTTCTGTCATCCAATGCTTCCACGCAGCTCGCAAGTTAACTTTGAACGCCCTGCTAACACCAATATTTAGCGGTTGGAATTCTGTGGTTAATAAACCCGGAATGATGGCAAGTCCCGAATTAGTTTGCTTCACTTCGGTTATGTCAATATCGGTGAGATGGCGCTCATGGAGTCGCAGATAAATAGGGACGATTTGTGGAAAAGGGTAGTGACCTATGTTGGACACAGGAGGGCACTGTTGTTGTTGTTCGCCCCTCCAGAGTCAGGCGGTTGTCACTAGTTTTGATCTGGATGGTCACCGTATTGTTGTTTTGACTCTGTTACGTGCGGAAGTGCGGATGTTGTTTTGCAGAGAGAGTGTTTTCCTGGATCGATAAAAAAGGAGAAATAAAAAGAGTTGTTGACCACGAAAAAAAAAATCGACAGTCATGCGTCTGAGTCGTCATGCGTCTGAGTCGTCCTGCATCGCACCATACATCGACAATTCAAAAACAACGCTGAGTCTCCGGGTGTTGGGAGGCACGAAGCCGATTTAGGTTACACAACCATACACTAACAGTTGTTAAACATGTTCTAATTGTGATAACTTAAACGTCATTGTTGGCTCCCAGTGTGATTCAGTTGTGTGCCATCATGTGTGATGCGCTGTGTGGTTTGACTTTATAAAATCGGTTCGAGGTCAGTAAGCGCAACCAGAAGTAATACATAAGGCGCACCGGGTTATAAGGCGCGCTGTCGATTTTTGAGAAAATTACAGGTTGTTAAGTGCGCCTTATAGTGCGGAAAATACGGTACATATATCTTAGATTTCCCAAACGTACGTTACTGTACATGTTTTTATCTATTACCCTGTATGTATTTATGTGTTGAAAAATGCCTTTTCGTTTATTTAAATACTGTTTTTCCCTTGTAGGCTAGAAAAATGAAAATATTGGAAATTAAAACATTTTTAATGTTTAAAGATTTCATTAAAAATCCGCGATGTACTGAGGGAGCGAAAGTAGAACCGTGATATAGAGAGGCAGTGGTCCCTCTCTATATCGCGGTTCTACTAAAGTGAAAGTTATCACGAAATTACGTAAAACTTATCGCGAAATAACGTGAAATTTATCACGTAATAACGTAAAACTTATCACGTAATAACGTGAAACTTATCACGAAATAACGTGAAACTTATCACCTAATTACGTGAAACTGAGCCAACTTTTTTTCTCAGTGTGGCAGCAATACGCTTCCGTAGTGAACTAATCTTTCGCTGTGAACTAATCTTTTGCTGTGAACTAGTGATGTGTTGTTCGCGAGTGATTCGTTCAAAGTGAACGAATCTTTCATATGAGTCGTGACTCCCGAGTCATATGAAAGATTCGTGACTCGTGACTACCGAGTCATATTAAATATTTATTCATATTGAACTCACGAATCACTCACAAATCACTCACTGCGAACTAATCACACTCTGCAACTAATCACTCACTGCGAACTAATCACTCACTGCGAACAAATCACTCTCTGCTAACTCATATTTCACTGTGAACTAATCTTTCACTACGATCTAATTACTATGCAAACTAATCTTTCACTGTGAACTAATCTATCATTGCAAACGAATCACTCTCTGTGAACTAATCTTTCACTGTGAACTAATCTATCATTGCAAACGAATCACTCTCTGTGAACTAATCTTTCGCTGTGAACTAATCTTTTGCTGTGAACGAATCATTCTCTGTGAACTAATCTTTTGCTGTGAACTAATCACTATGAACGGATCATTCTCTATGAACTAAT